GCGCTTCTTCATAGGATTTGTTATCAGTGACACTTTACGTTTTTCCTTCAGATGTGTGAAATGCCAAAGCCGATATTCTACGCAAGAAGCGTTAGAGCAACACCTGCTAACTGCATCGCACAGCTTTCCCTGCCCACACTGTCAAAAGGTACACTATGACACACCCGACGTTTCACCTTTTATTCACTGTGTATGCACATGTTAAAGTAGGCTTCAGATTCCCTGTGCCTAATGCAACTTGGCTTGAATGGTTTAGGCGTTTTGTTTCCCGTGTCAGTTCAGTCTCTGACTCACGCCCTTTGCGACCATCAGGTCTTCCCATGTGAAAGATACTTCAGACGCCACCTCCCCACTCACGGCGTTGGCGGCAGGTTCAAGTGTCAGATCTGCAAGAAGGCCTTTAAGACGGAGCACTACCTCAAACTGCACACACGGATTCACTCAGGTTATCTTTTCATCTGTTTGGCTATGTTATATGACCTCATGCACCGCAGACTATATGCAAAACATGCACAGTTTCCCTTCTGTTCAGTTATTATGAAGGAGGTATTTATTAATGTCAGAGGAAATTAGGTGGTCACAGTTGCTCCAAGTGACTAAGAACAGCAACTATTAATACAATGTATTACAATGTTACAAAATAGCTCTAATATATACAGATACATACAATGGAAGACTATGGGACTGGAATAACAGGACAGACAACAGACAGGTAATGATTAAGTCAAGGCTGCATGACAAGAAGGTGCTGGGAGGGGTGGGTTGTAAGGTGGTCTGCAGATGTGCAGTGACTCTAGACGGGTTTTAGCATCTCATGAGATGTGAACACCCGATTTTGTTCGCTGTGCATACAGCTTAGGCGTAAGTTTAATGCTGATTCCATTTTCTAGGTGAAAAGCCATATAAATGTTCCCTCTGTGAGGCGACGTTCAACAGGAAAGACAAAGTGAAGCGACACATGCTCATTCATGAACCCTTTAAGAAATACAAGTGTCCTTTCAGGTGAGACCTTTAAGTGGGAAAGCCCTGTTCTCTTCTGTTTGTTTTTCCTTTTCTAAAAGTTATTCACTCTTGTTTTTCTCATTTTCATCAGGACACATGTCGGTTGCACCAAAGAATTCAACAGACCAGACAAACTCAAAGCCCACATCCTGTCACACTCTGGTGAGTGGATAACACCAAGAATATTTTTGAGGAAAAAGATGAAGAAGCACTGTTAGGGATCTTCTGTATTCCAGATACAGTATGTATATGCGAATATTTTAATGCATCATCACATGAACTTTTTTCCAGGTATCAAGCCCTACAAATGTCTGTTCTGTCAGAAGGCGTTCAGCCGCAGGGCTCACATGCTCGAGCATCAGCAGTCCCACACTGATAACTACCGCTTCCGTTGCTCCACCTGCAACAAGGGCTTCACCAGGCAGAGCTATTACAGAGATCACAAATGTCCTGCCGCAGGAAATGAGCTGGAAGCAGAAATGGGGACGGGAGAAATGGAGGGAGACGAGGTAGAGGAGGCTGAGGAGAAGGACGGAGAGGATGAGCAGAGAAGAAACGGGTTTACGAGAAAAGCAAAAAGGACGGAGACAGGGGGAGATGATGGAGCAGAGGGCAATGGCATAAATGGCATCCAGCAGCAAGTGGAAACACATGGGGAGGCGGGAGAGGAGAGAAGGAATGATGAGGGCTGTCAGGCTGTGCTGTCCATCAGCACCATCGAAAGGCAGACAAAGGGAGAAGAGGAGGAGGATGACGGGGTGAATCATGGTGGAGGAGGACTGGAGCAGATTTCAAGCGATGACCAAAACTGTTTGCAGCAGCCATGTTTGTAGTCCTAATGCCAAGTCCGAATGTTTCCAGGACCAGTCGACAAGCTTTGTTATCCTTTTTTTTATTATTTAAACCACACATTTACATAACATTATTTGTTTTAAATTAAAACGTCATTTAAATTATTACACTGGATTAACAGGAACTGGAAGATTTGAAGGATCTGTTGGATCTATGATGCCCAGTGGAAAGTTTCTAAATTCTTGTATTATGTGCAAGTTCAAACCACGCCGGCTCCGTCACAACATAATCTCAAGCCTTTGCCAAAATGTTCTGGTTTCATGTCATTTCATGTAACAACAAATAAAATTACTTTAAGGTTTGTACGTGACTCAAAGTGTAATTGTGTCTATTTAAATGCATGTTAGTACATGTTTTAGTGCAGGTGCCACCATAGCTGCTGACATTATAATGGTTTCAGTTTTGGCTTTGGTTGGGTCACTCAGCGAGTCTGAGAAGCATTTCAAAGCAGCTCTGGGGGAAAGGGGAACTTCTGGGGAACTCCTCATCAATGCACTCAAGAGTATTTTGGTAGGCTGGCCACTGCTGGGATGGGTCACCACACTTCCAGGTTTTCTGTTTGGGTAATGGGTCTTATCGTGGCTCACTAGAGTCCCAAAGCCTTAGAAATGCCTTTCTTTTACCTGCTTCACTTACCTCTTGGTCTAGATCATAGGTGTCAAACTCTGGCCCGCCAAATTTGGCCCGCAGCCTAATTACATTTGGCCCGCGAAGCCATACCAAATTATTATTAGAGCTGGCCTACTGGTATTATACAGCTAATATATATATTGTTTAGTATTAAGCTTTGCTTGTTCCATATTCAGTTTTTCAGCAAAACTTGTTCGAGTCCATAAGAAGAGATTCATTCTTAAATCTGGAGGAAGATTTTTTTCCAATAAATATTAACGTTAGCCCGCGACCTTGTTCCAGTTTTGAATTTTGGCCCACTGTGAATTTGAGTTTGACACCCCTGGTCTAGATAATGAAATTTATTTCAAACTTCTGATAAAAAAAATGGGGTTAATTACATTTAATTCATGATTTAACAATAGGGGGTGATTACTTTTTTATACAGGTTTAACAAATTCCCATAATTAATAAAATAATTTAAAAACTAGCTGTATTTACACCAGTAATCTATGACTGATTAAAAAAACAACAAACTAAACTATACAGAATGACCAGTTTTTACCATTGCTTTTAACTTCAGCTCAACTCACAGTAGATGGTAAATCTTCCTTTAAAATCAGCCTTTACTGTTAGTTTTAGAGTGATTCATTGCCATTTCATTCATAATGGTGAATCACCCAAAAATGTTTCCAGCACCAAATTTCACTTATTTAACTACTTCTGTATATTCTTTCATCCAGACTACATTATGCTTTAGACCAGTGATTCCCAAAGTGTGGAAGAAACTCAGCTTGAAATTAAATACATGTAGTTACATGTTTATTGAAATGTATTAATATAAAAAGGTCAATTAAAATTGGTAAATAAAGGTAGTTAGTTTGTGATTTAACCCATTACTCTGACCAAAGTTTATTGATCTTGTTTGTCTCCCAGTAACAGGTGGGTCACGCATCGGCCTTTACAATTTGCATATGCCTGGGTAGATTTAGCAGTTTATAACAGATGGCTCGCGCTGACTTAGACTTTGACCCTCTTGCTGTTGGGTAACTGCAGTTGCATTTTAGATCAGAGTCCCAAGAAAGCATGCAAGCTTGCTTATTGGGAAAAGCAACCAGGATGCATCTGGCATAGTAAATACCCTGATAGTGTGGGTAGTGAAACACCACATGTAAGGAGAAAATGCTTATCATATCAGAGAGGATAAGGAACCAAACCACAACTGTGTCGTTAAACCTGCCAGGGCAAGCAAGACTAAGTAAATCAAAGTGATAAACAAGATGATACAAAATGTCTTTTTTACCAACTGCATCCCAGTAAAGGCACACAACACATTTCTGAGTTAATTTATTAAGGTGGCATTATCTATATTACACATCGTTCATATACATCAGAAATTAAACAGGGAAAAGAAAATAGTGTTAACATAAACCTCTTTTTAAAACCTCTCTTTTAAAAAAGAAACTTTGTTATTGACACCATTTACAACTTCATGTACAGGGGAGTGACAGTGGTTTATTTGGATATGGAGGCTTCTAGACAAAAAAAAAAAAAAACAAAAAAAAACAAAACCCCAAAAAAGAAAAAAAGAAGCAGTTAATATTTACATATCTATTCAACTATGTTCCCAAGATTTTAATATGCGATCGACCCAGAACAAGATCAAAACGTCATCCTGCATCAGGGAAAACAATCTGAGGCAAAGCTGTAAATAGGCAACTAGACCAACTTTCCATCTTGATACATTCATCAGTTTTTATGCTAGCATTGTCTCAGTAGTTGTTGTCCTAGCCGAGGTCACACTTGACTATTTAAAAACAGGCCACGTGACACCCCCCCCCCAAGCTCAATCTGGTGCAGTCCAGAGTATTCACTTTAGCATAAAGCAACCTGCGGTGGATCATCTCTGCCGGCTTCAAGCTGCTAACAAAGCATGCCTGAAGCCCGAGGGTGGAAATAAGGCTACCTGAAGGCTAATGACAGATGATCTCACCATGCACGTGGAAACGGTGAGTCCAGGGGTACAGACAAAGCAGAATGGAACTCGCACACGCTGGGGGTGTTGGGAAAGAAAGTGCCGTGCTTTATTAGACTAACACCGCCTGAATCCAATGCCCCCATCAGTGACCCCAACAGTCTTTCAAGTGTGTAACCTGAATCATTCAAAGGAGCGCTCTAAAAATGAGAACCCACACTACCTGCTGCTCTAAATTTCATATGATTGATGCCAAACTACACCAACCTCAGCGCGCACACACACACACACACACACAAAACTCTGGATACCACCTTGGCAAAGCATCAGGAGGTTTCTTTGTGCATTCACATTTTAATACAACAATCTGCCCAAGTCAGCTGTTCCATGATACATAACCTAGAAGGTGAAGCAAGAATCTCTCTCACACACAAACACACCTTTTCACTTTCGTAATGCATTCTAGGTAAGGTAAAAAAAATTTAAGAATACGAAGCTATGGAAGACTTATCATTTTCAAACAAAAACAAAAAAACAAAAAACAAAACAAAAAGCTTAAAATCATGACATTAAAAATAATGCAGGATTTAAAAAAAAATAAAAATAAAAATCAAGATCCCGTCTGAGATTAAAGTGGTTATTTTAGGAGAAAAAAAAACGTTTTGTTAAGAAGTGGTCACATTACAGAGTGCTGGTCTGTGATAACAACTATCACAGCATCTCGGTCTGTATGTTATTTTCATTTGAACAGGCCTGAATCATGGGCGAGTATCTTCAAAGTGCAGATGTTTATAATGAGAAGGTCATTTTGTGACCATAATTGTCAGCTGTGATACACTGCAGGCACGAACCTGCAGGTGGTGTCGTCTCGAGTCTGAATTTGAAGTCCGGGCTCACCCCTCCCCCTCTTATAAATTTACCACTTTAATCTCAGACTTCTTCTTCCCAGGAATTCATGACTTATTTTTTTTCCTTGAAGCAGTACAATGCCTCGCACAGTTTTAAAATTCTGTTTTTCTTAGAATTACCCAAATCCACAAACTATAGAATTACAAACTGCTTTCTCTGCTAAAAGCATTTAGAGGTAAAATGTTCCTCTAAGTGGAAAAGGGAAGACAGAATTCAACCTTTTTCAATTCCAAAACGCTTTGTCTCTTTCATTTTGTCTCTCGCTGTAGGGTTTGTAAAAGTTCAACTAAGGCAAAGCGCTCGATCCAATTCAAATGCTACACGTGTACAAAAAGCTACAAACTGCTTATTTTCAAGCTGTTAAGTGAGCATTCAAAATATCCATTATCATTTAAAAGTTGATTTGGTTTGACTTGATTTTGGTGTCTTGTTTTCAAACTTTTAACTTTAAATAGCATCAAAACAAATCTCGATTCATTAATTACTAAAAAGGATTTCCTCAGGATGTTAATTTATTTAATTTTTAATCAAGACTATCCCGTGAAATAAAAGGAGAAAGCTGGAAAACATTTTAAAGCTGATACTAAGATGAATAACTTAAAAGACTCCCCCAGGATACTCTAATCCACAGTGTCCCCCATCACACATCACAGCGTGCAAACTCTGGCCCTATAAAACTAGGGCCTCTAAGTTCTCTTCCACTCTTCCCACCACTAAAGACAATGGAGGTTACAACACTTTTCACAATCATCGAATCGATTCCCAGATCAAATACTAAAGAAGCAGGAACGCAAAATAGGCATGTGGCCAAATCTCTCTGAAGCACCAGGATTGTCTGTTAGTAAAAGTTTGAAGCACTACTTTTGAGAAAAAAAAAAAAAAGGGTCTTGTTATAATTAACATGCAGATCAAAGTGTGAGTTCGATTCTAAAACAACAGAATTTAAAAATGATTTTTGGTGACTCTCACGTCAGTTTTAGAAGAAAAAGCAGACCCTCTCAATCTCTTTAAAGGTTTTACTCCTGGAACTTCTTGTGCTCCGTCAGGTCAAGATGTTTTCAGTTTAACCCCTCCTTCTTACCTGACATGATCATATGAGTCGAAAGCACAAAACAAAAAACCTGTAGTCTTGTTAAACAGATGTCACAGAGGACGAGTTCACCGGGCATAGAGCGGTGCACATTCTGAGAGACGGGAGCAGCGTCCGTGTTTTGGTTTGAAACGATACAAAAATTTCTCCAAGCTGTCGGGCGTGCAGAGGCCTGCTGAGACTGCAGTGTGCAGGGCCCGTGCCCAAAACCCAACAACATGCAGACAACAGTCTAGCATATGCTCCCATAGAAGTACTACACATGTGAGTGCATGCATGAGCACAAACTCCCAAAAACTCCTGCCTATTCTAAAGAGGCTCCCTGATTTGAACACCGGTGGGGTTTTTTCATTCCTCCAGACTCCTGCACCCAGCTCCTCCTGGTTTTCTTTACTCCTGTCCAAAGCCTTCCGTTTCCTCAATGGCAAACATCAGCTTCTCTTTCAGCTGCTCGTAGCTCTTGTAGGGTGGCAAATCCAGTCTGTTGAAGCTGGAAAATGAACATTAAAAAAATGTATTTTAGCTTGAAAAGCTGATTCTGGTGCTACCACAACAAACCTAGCTTGATTCTGAAGTGAGCCTATGTCAGTGTGGAGCTGTGTGCTTGGATGAAAACTAAAGAAGTTTAAGGACAGTTGAAACAACTCTGAAGTAGGTTGTAAATCTGCCTTCATAATATCCAGGCCCAATTGGAAAACTGTACTGTCTCCATAGTTATTTCAACACTGTCCATAACACTTCTGCAACTCAAAACAGTTCTGTTCTTTTACATGAGGTGGGGTGTATGCCCATTATCATCCATCCGCACCCAGTAGTTTCTTTAGTCCTCTGTATGAACTCACCATGTGTGACTTCTGGGAAGCCAGTTTTCTTTTCCCACCTTCTCAATGCAGAACTTTTGAGCACCGTTGCTTCCTACGAGGTGAAGCACAACTCACTGTTAAGTTTGATCCTTACAGAAAAGGTGAACTTTCAAAACAAATTGCAATAATTTGACAGTTTCCTACCTAACACACTAAAGGCTACAAATGGCTTAAATCTTAACCATGAGAACAAACATACAACTGAAATAAACCACCAAAAAAACTTTGTAGGTTATCCTTTGGCGTCATGCTGCATGTAGAATCATTTGGCACTTCAAATGGTCATCCCTGCAATATTTACCCATGAGGTCATTGAAGCCTCCGACTGGCAGGCGACAGGTACCAGTGACGAACTGCAGCAGTCTCATCCTCTTCTCATTGTCCATCTCCTTCACCAGCTGCAGGAGAAAAAACAAACAAAAAAAAAAGAAAGATTAAAGACCATATTATCATATTATTATAAACTTCAGTTTAATGAGTCACTCCTTCAGCTTCACACTGACCTGCCAGAACCAGACGATCTGTTTACTGCTGCGAGCATAGTGTCTGTAGATGGTGTTTCTTTGCCAGTCTACCAGGTCAATCTCCTGCATACCACACAGCATGACCTGGGACGGAATACATTTTCATTAAGACAAAAAGTATACCGCTCACTCCATTCTTGAGTATTTGTCTTTAAGCATACCTCCAACTCTTTTGCATCAAAGTACTGCAGGTACTGCTGAGGGAGGACCTCATTGAAGCCTTCAAAGAAAGCCTGTGTCTGCTCTTCTACTCCTCTGGACAGGCGCCACTCTGCCACCAGCCTGCACAGGCAAACACAAGCCCAACCTTAAAACCTAAAAAAACTCTTATCTTAATAAACATGTCATATGAGCCTTATATTGAATTGACATAATAATAATAATAATAATAATAATAATAGACAATGATCTGAATTAACAACTAAATGGAAAACCCTGAAATCCACCTGATGTACTCCTCCTTGTTCTCTTCTGTGACTTGGATGTCACCTCCTCCTGGCTTCAGCTCATGGGTGGAGATCTCCCCCAGGATCTCCTTGTCAACAGAGAAGAACATCTCCAGCCCGCACTCCTCAATGTTGTTATCCCTAAAGAGCAACAAGGTCCCTGCAGCATTACTGTTACAACAAGTTTTCATCCGTGTCATGTTATTCCGTTATCATGACACATTCTACACTTAAAGCTCTGAGAGTCTAACACCACAGGAAATTTGCTGCAGCCAAGAATGATTTGAAAACCTGACCAAGGGTTAAAGACTAACACGTTTCAGTGACCTATTAATGCTGCTGACGACATTTCTTTCTCCGCTCATCCAGCTAAAATGTTGCCCAAGGGGATTTAGAGCTACTCAAGGCCCAATTTTAAGAACATTTTCTTCATGGTTTCCCCAGGAAATGTTAAGCTTGAATTAGATTAGATTAGCATTAGAAGGTAATTAAAAGTGACTGAAGAACATGGAATCAATTATTTTGTAAAAATGTAAATTCAGTTTTGAGTTACTAGTCACAGTTATTCATGTGACTAAAAAGGACTAAAAATCACATGAGATGTTTGGCTAACCGCAGGATGTTAATGGAGGTTTTGATCATTGTGCTGGGGTTCTGTTGACAATTAATGATGGCATAAAAAATATTTATGTCATCTGTAGCCAGTTAATATAAAACTTCCAGAACTGAATAAGCTTCTCGGATGAGATGTGAAACGTACTCAAAAAACACTCACGTCTAGCCACTTTTCTTCTCAAGCTTTTTAGATAAGACTTCACTGATTTTTTTTCTCCAGTTCTTTGTAGGTTAGATTACTTAATAGGACTAGACTTTGCAATCCCAAATGACTGAGCTCAGTACTCATCTTGAGGGGGTTTTGAGGCATCATTTCAATTGGCTGTCCCCACAAAGACAGGAAATATGTAATCGGCTTAATTTGTTTTGTTTGTCAGCAGTGTAGCATCCACAGTTTTCAACCCATGACATTTATTTGGTAATAAATAAATAAATAAATAAATAAATGAATAAATGAATAAATAAATAAAATAAAATAAAATAAAATAAAATAAAATAAAAAATTATCGGATCAAAGTCAAGGCCCCACAAAATGTGAAAAGCAGTAAAAGCTTTATTTTACCCACAATTTCTTTTCTTCAAACTTCCCAATAACAGGGTCTCTGGGGATGTGAGCAACTGGGTTGACCTTCATTTTTAGCGCCCAAGTTGACCAGTGCAATATGAAAGGACATATGGTTACTCCCCCCCAATATGAGACCCTACAACATCAAGATGGACCCATAATGTTTCGCAAAAGAAATCACACGCTGCATGAATACATCTTAAAAATCTCACGTTTTTACAGCTTATAAAAGCAAAAGATTTCAGCCAATTCTGCCCCAATCATGTGGGTGAAAAAGATAGAAAATAAACCATTTTAGACTGTATGTGCTTCAAGGTCACAGGTCAAAGGTCAGGTATCAGCGCGTTGTCAGCAGGCTGACGTCAGCATGTTGTAATAAAAAAAAATAAAAATCATAAAACATCAAAGTTTTATTACAGCCCCTGCCGTTTGGGGGACAGTTCTTGTTTCATTAATGAGTTAGTGTAACAAAGTGCAGTGATGTGTCATTTCTCCACACAAATAAACACGAGCAGCACATTAAGCACACTGTTACTCTTCTCTTCATAAATAAAACCTGAGATGTATAGGGTGATACACACCAATACAAAGACATAAACAATCTAATGTATTAGTAACTTTGTAATAAGAAATGTCAACAAGTTCATTTAGAATGAGAATAATTAAGAATGCATCGTCTCTCAAACCGCTTTACACACACAGCAGTTTTGTGAACTCACTTGATCCACATGAGGGAGTTGTAGAACTCCGGATCAATGGACTCCAGGTCGTGGAGGGTCAGCGGCTTGTTGAGGATGCGCTTGTAAAATGGCAGTGAGAAACCAGTGTCGATGAACTTGCCATGGAAAAGAGCCTGAGGGGGAAATGCAAGTTCATCATTATTACACACAATCAATCAAAGCTTTATTCGCCACATGCAGGTTGCCCTGCAGTGAAATGGGACCCCCCCCCCCGACCTTACACACACAACACAGACATTACATGGGGATACAAGTCGGAGATTGGTAGCGTTACAGAAAAAACACTGAAATGTACACTACAATGGGGAAAGTACAAGAGGAAAAAAAGAGACCTCTACTCATGCTGTACTTCCATGGTAGGATAGCATGAGAACAGGAAACAAAAAAACTCCTCTGCACAAAAAGCACAAAAATGTCCACAGCACAACATTGTGAAGGACATGACAAGCCACAGGATTGGGTGGGGGGTGAGGAGTAATCCGAAGCGAACACAGCAGCCACCCTGCACAGCGCTACCATCCCAGCGCGTCACACAGACCTGACGTGTTCCCCCGCAGGAAACAAGCATCGAAGGCGTTTGGAAAGGGAGGGGGATAAGTGTGTGCTTATCAGTGTAAGTGTATGTGTGTGCGTGTCCATAGTTCAGCTGAGACAGTGTCCTTTGCCCTGCCAGGCTAAGAAAACAGTCTACCAGCCAACCCAGGTGGCCTTGCATGGAATGGGAAGGAACAGACTCAACAGTCGTTATCAGGGAGTTTTTGTTCGGTTCCGGCCTTGAGCCCACAGCTGGCGCCGAAGGGGTAGCCGCATTATTATAATGGTGATTTTTCTTTTACAAACAACTCATGAGAATTTCAAGCTGTTTTAACACTCCGACACCGGTCTCTCAATCTCCCGTTGGATAGCTGCGAGTTTCTCCATGATGTTATTTACCTTCAATTCCGTGGTCTTTTCAGTTTTTTGCTCACAGAGCAGATTCTGAGACCTCATGACCGCAGCCAACTGATCCGCGATGTAATCCAGCTTCCGCCCAGAGGTGTTGTTCCGAGTGGATTCTTCCCTGATGTAATCCAATATACGCTCAGAGGTGTTATTCTGAGCCTTCACTGCAGCCGTTAGCGCCTCCAAGCTCTTAACCATGCTGCATTCAGTGAGCCCTACCTGAGAAGCCGCACCTCGTCCCATCGTTTCAATCCCAGCGGGCAGCCTTGGGGGGGTTTGAACAGCCAGTTCCGCTTTCTTAATTCTCCGATAAGCCAGGGCCAAGCCAGCTCCGATCAGCAAGAACCCTGTTATCATGGTTCCGAATAGGTAGATATCTTCAGCGTCCTCGATTGACAGTCCTGCCAGGCACACGATCCTCCATGTCTGCCACCCATCCATTGTGTATCCGGCAGGGAAAGTCCCTCCAGGGCACTCGGGCTCTCCCGAGCCCAGACTTCTCGTTGAGAAAAGGGTGTCAATAGCATTCAGAGACCAGTTGATCAAATCCATAATTCTCTTTAGGTTTTAGAAACAGACTGTGAGAGTGTGTTCCAGGGAAAGTAATACAAAAAAACCCCCAAAAAAAACCACGAGACAAGACAAGGACATGAGGAGCTAAGCAGGGAAGATAAGGGAGAGGAGAAAAGTGCGACCGCCTTCGCTGAGAGCCAAAGAGAAACACCTTACTGTTATAAATAATGCTACAGTGACTCTTACAATATCTTACTTGCCATTACAGCTTTAAAACCAGCATATGAGAAAGTGACTAACCATGGCAATAAAGCGTCCTATGAACTTGAAATACTTGAGGTGGTCAGGGTTGATGTAGGAGGCTGGGTTGATCTGAAGACAGTAGTTATCTTTACCAGCATATTCAAACAGGCAATACATCGGGTTCAAAACCTCATGGGACAGCAGGAAGAACCACTCCCTGTGAGTGAGGAGAAGACAAGGCAGAAGTGAGTGTGGGATGAGAAATCCAGCAAATACATAAATAAAAATGACAGCAGCAGCCCAATAATAGTTCTATGCTATGAATTCTGAGACTTCTCATAACTAACCTGGAAACACCGCCATAGTCAAGCCCTTCTTCTCCAGGGAAGATGATCCACAGCCTCCTTCGCAGATCTTGAGCATTTAAGCTCATTATCTACAACAAAGACAACAGACTGATATACCACCTGTGAAATCACTATTATTCTAAAACAAAATACCCCAGTATCATAATTAGGAATTTTACAGTCTGCTTACTTTATGCCCTGCACTTTTGTCATTATTATGCATTAATAAATACAATGAACAGTGTGGCTCAAGGTGGTTGCTGTACCTGCTGGAAGGAGTCCTCAAACAGGGTTTTTCTGGATACGTTGATCTTGACGTGTTGAGGCATCGCCAGTTGCTGGAGAAAAGAAAAATGCCAGCAACAGTTAATTTTGCAGTGAAGACTCACTGGTTCGCCTTAAAGGATTACGTTTTTTTTTTATTTAACATGGTACGCACACAAATATTACACATGCACACTAAATAAAGCAAAAACAGTGCACTCCCCTGTTTATGATGACTTGGGATTTTTTGTTATCCATCGAAGACTGTGGGAGTTCAGACTTGATAACAACAAATTGAGTTGAAATGAACCTAAGGTCATCAGTCACCGTGAATAAATTTATGACTGACTAAACGGAATTCATCTCTACTTTGTTTCATCATGCAATTTGAGAGATCCATTAGAAAGATATGGAATACTCCATTTTCCACATAGTGTCAGTGGATATGGTGTAATGCCAGGAATCTGCAGATTTTTATTCTAAAGACAACAACTCTCCTTTCCTGTAGTGACACCCACCTGGCACCAGAATCTGAAGTACTGTACTTTGGCTTTGAAGTCTCGAACATAGGTGATCTGGGGTCCATTTTCACTGTGACAAAAAAGAAGGAAAAACCAGAGTTTCATTTAATCCGTTAATACCTTAAATATTACTTTCAGATATTTCGATCTCACACTCGCTTCCACTCCCATGAACGCCCACATAAATGTCCTTGCAAAATATATTTTAAAAAAGCGATCCACTTACAAAAACGTACATGAGAAGGTTATAAACATGTGAATTTTGCCACTGTTCATCTTAGTTTACATAACCACATTCTCATCACCTTCCACCCAAACTGGTTTTTCCACCTGAGTGAAAAAACCAGACCCAAGCCTCAACTCAGTAACTATCAGGACTGAGAATGCTGTAGGAGACTAGGTGACCCATTAGTCATATCAGGCTAATGCATCACGACTTCTAAAATTAGAGAGGGATTCTTAGGACAGTGACACATATGACTGAAAATCAGCTGAAACATAACTACCAGGTATATCAAAGCTACCTTGTGAGATGCTAGATCAACTGTGAAATTAAACTATTTATGTTTCCTTGTTTCCAAAATACTCAGAATGTCTTTTAAAAGAATGATGATTATGTTTAGAAGAACACAAGATGGTTTGAGATATAAACGTGTTTGTTGCTTCTGTTACAAAGTATCATTATGGCAGTAATTAGCAATAAAACTATTTTTGAAAAGAATGTACATCTTTTAGTTAGCCAATGTGACTGTGTCTTCTATATCTTTCTGAAGCCTTAAAATTTTGGGAGAATGGAAAAGAATGCATTGGAATAACATACAGTGAGGATTTTCCAGTGCGGGGGTCGATGTAGGTGGTGGTTCTCCTGGTGTGGTCGACAAAATAAGGAATACCGTCTACAGTGAAGCGCATCTCCCAGCCTTCAGGAAGGGGCTTCTCATTCAGCAAACTGAAAAACGACATTAGACCTTTTCCTGTTTAATGTTATGGAAAAAAAAACACACTACAGATATACAAGTTTTATGTTTATCTGATAACAAAAACAGTGGAATATGCAAACACACACTAACCCCTGTGTTCTTGGATCCTCCCACTGTGTTGACCGTGTAGGGTGATGCACAAAATAAACTCTGCCATTGGAGTCTGTTCTCTTCTCTGCAAGCACACAAAGTGAGACATTATATTGCCCTACCCTAACTCCATCTTTACTTTACATTATAATAGATTAATGCAAAAGCCACAATTAAGCATAGCTACCTTTGAATTATTTAACTTTATTATTATTATTGAGAAATTAGGGACGAGTGTCTTTTTCATGCTACAAACATCTCTACCTTAATCAAATATAAAGATAGCTTAATTTAAAGGGGTTATATTAAATAATAAAAATAAATCCTGCTGTGGCTATCATGATATAACACTTTATATCAGGGCTGGCAGCTCAGCAGCTACCAGGCTACTGCTAGAAAAAAAGTCCCCAATGTAGACATCGAATATAATCCAACAGGTTCCAGAAGGCAGTCACAATAAATGTTGAAAACTGATGTTCAAATGCTAAAACAATGAAAAATCCAAATGTGACAGAAAATATGAGAACAATATGTGATTTAAGCCACTTCCAATGAGAGTGTAGGACAATGATTGACATATGTGAGAGTTCATCTCAGCAACTGGAACCTTGAATGTCCGCTGGTAAAACACTATCAGCAACAAAGCATTGCACAACAAGCAAATGGCTTCCTGTGTGGATGTCTCTTAGCAACAATTGTAGTTAACAGTGACAGAAACTTTTGTATTTAAATTAGAAAGTCATTATGACCTTACCCCATCCCTGTGGTAGAGGCCCAAGAGGATCATACTCCTTATTTTGAGTGGCTGTGGTCTGGTCTTGGGCCTACACAGCAGAAGATGATCGTTAATGAAGCGTCTTCACTTGTATGTATGACATAACAGATATGCCAAGCTTTGTGTTTAACAAGCTTGGCATGTTTTTAAGATAGTGGCGTGTAAGGACATATGCAGTGGCACAGCGATCCCAACTACTGTGCATCTTTTTGTGTTTTCCCCCCACACCCCGCTTATTCCTGCTGTCTACTATTTGTATTTTATTCTGACACAGGTGGTGTGGAGCACCCACAATTTCGTTGTACATGTACAATGACAATAAAGGGCTATTCTATTCTGTATTAGAGCAAGAGGCCTGTAACTACAGGGCCAAAGTAACATCTCAAAAGCAGTGAGCCACCTTTTTCCATTAATAGCAATGTCACAGAAATATGGCAACATAAAGTAAACTATAAGCTATATCCAGCACAGTACTTATGTATATATTTTGTATAAAATGCTTCAAGAAAAGAAAGATATCTAGCTTTTTTTCTCAACTTGCATCCTTCAATCGATCTTCAATCAAAATCCGATTTCCTAATCATTTAGTATTTGTGTCTGTGAAGGTTCTCAGTAATCCAGGTCATTGTAGTCAAAGGAGCTTGCAAAGAAAAGCGCCTGGACTTCTTTAAGTTGCTTGAAGACGTTTCACCTCTCATCCGAGAAGCTTCTTCAGTTCTAAGGTCAAATTCCTGAGGTCAGATGGCCCAGGATGTAGATCCTGGCCCAGGATGTAGATCCTGGCCCAGGATGTAGATCCTGGCCCAGGATGTAGATCCTGGGCCAGGAATTCGCATGATAAGGTGGGGCCAGGTTTCACAATGAGCTCACCCGAAACCCTGGCTGATTGGGACCCACACCCATTTTCACACCTTGGCTCAGGCGATTAGAGGATCATCAGGGGATAATCCCACTAGGTTTAAATCTGGAACTCCTCACAGTTTGACCTTAGAACTGAAGAAGCTTCTCGGATGAGAGGTGAAACATCTTCAAGCAACTTAAAGAAGTCCAGGCGCTTTTCTTTGCATTTAGTATTTGTATTACAAGACTGTAAATTCACAGATGAGACACACCTATAGTCACTATATCCCAGCTTATTACCATCCAAGTCAACACAATGCATCACATGATAAAGAGGATGTCTCACCCCAAATATAAATCTCTGGTTGAATTGCTGCATGGCGCCCTGCAGCTGGCTTCGCTGGTGCTGCCATTGTTCATAATTGCGCACTGACTCCACAGTGGGGCGTTGCCATGTGGTGGTACGTGTCATGTGATCAACAAAGTAGACCCGCCCCATTTGGTCAACACGACGCTCCCAGCTGAAGGTGTAAAGTGGGGGGGGGAATAAATGCTTCAATGACAGAAAAACCATACGCTTTTTCCAGGCTAAAGGACATGACAAATATATCACTGGATGAAGTGAACAACAAGAATATAACCAGTATCTACTATTATAACAGTCCAATAACACTAGAGATGACTTTCTAAGAAAAAATCTAAGTGATAGAGGGGTTTTTTTTGTTTACCCATGGGGCAGTGGTTCAGGCCGTTCCCACGTTGTTTTCTTCTCCACGTGATCAACATAATAAAGCCTGCCGTTCTGATCCACTCTCTGCTCCCATCTAGAAAAAGGAACAATGATAAAGTTCAGGCCACTTTTCTTAATGGTGCAAGACACTACTCTAGCAGATTAGGTACAGATTTATAATTTCTAGCATTTTCTACACGAGTCATCCTAGTAGAAAAACAGCTAACAGCCAGTGAAGGTCACAATGATGTCATAGGAGCACAGAGCTCAGTAAGGGATGTTTACAGAATTACAGGCTGGATGAAGCCAGACCAAAAAAAGACCACGATCGTCACAACCATGTTTAATATATAAAATGTGAGATAAAGTCATTCACTGTTTAGGCATATCTGCTCTCAACAGACAAACAAGTGGCATGTCACCTTGTCTTTTCAGTAAGAAGATTCTGCTATGCTAAAAACTGCTCTCACATTTATCACTCATGTTTGCATATTCGTTTGATTTTTTTATCGTTACAATATTCAGCATGCTCCGTCATCTAACGTGTCATTAGATTGATGAATGGAATATGAATGCTCATCTGACCTTGCCTTGTTCAGGTATTTCTGTACTGTTTTAGAAAACATTAATTTACGGCTAAGCAACAGCCCCTTTTCTTTATTTTTTCAGTAGTTAAGCATTTTTTCTCTGGATGAAGCTTCCTTTTCTTGGTCTATTTATACTACAGCGCAGTCAGCCGCTTTAGCAATTAGTAGTTTGGCTTGGGCACTATTATTGCTTAGCATGGCTTTGGAGATTAGATAATCGTTTCCATTCTTTCACATTCATGACTTATGACTGTACAGAAAACCTCTCTCAGTTCTTCTGCAAGAATTAGAAAATGAGCACCAACCCAGGAGGCAAGGGTCCTGTGCTGACTGCGGGGACTCTGGGAGTGACAGCAGGGGTGATGGTGCTGGTCGGCTGCCTGGTTGCTGCAGCTCCAGAACCGGAGGCCACTGTGGAGTTCCTGTCAGAGCCCCATGATGGACTTGAGTCTGGGGCTGATGAGGGACCCGAGGCCGGCGCTCGCACTGGGGTATCAGAACCTGACTGGCCATCGCTGCAGTCTGCTGCAGCAGAGTCATTGCTGGAAGATGCTGAAGAAAGAAAATGGTGGATCCTCACTTTAAACACGGCCAGAGCATATGAACAAGGCTTCAACAGGCTTCAACAGGCTTCACACTGCTCTAAACAAATTTTAAGACAGTTTTGTCTGCTCTTGAATGTCACTACTATGTGATGTCACCATTTCCTTAAAATATTCACCTTAGGGACATGGATCTAACTAGGAGCATTTTTGTTCAAATCTTTTTGTACTGGTGAGGGCCAGCCAATTAGAAGAAACTTAACTTAACCCTTTAAGACCTACCATAGAACCAAGTCCGCCAGAGCTTATATTATATTTTTACATGCTGTGGAGCCATTTTTGGGAGCATTTCAAGTTGCTATACATCAATACAACCATTATAGCCCAGATTTTAATAATATGTATTCATTAAGTGCATAGTAATTACATAAATTGCAAAAAAGTGCAAT